TAGCAGTTAGGCTCCATATTCCATCCATCCATCCATTCATTATCCATCTATCTATAGATAGTAGTTAAGGTACTACAGTACATTACTAGTCTAGACATGGACATCGCAGTGTAGTTCTTGCCCTTAAGGAAATTTCAGTTTTGTGTGACGACGCATCAAGGAAATTGCAGGTGTCATTTCTCTTTTCAGGCAGTTTATGATGTTCCAGTGATAGATTGTCCTAAAATACATCCTGGATAAATGTGTTCATACAAGTATAGCTAGAAATACAGACATCATGTGCCGTTGAAGGGGGTAATTATGAGAAATGATTAGCTCGGTCATTGGGCGTTGGGCATGTAGTTAATGAGGGATGATTCTGTCCTAATCTCTGTTCCAGATTTCAGACTGAAAATAGAGACTGCCCTAAGCATATGCCAGCATAGCTCCCTTTACATTCTTGGCCCTGCCTCTGATTTGGAGAGAGAAATGCTGTAGGCAAATCGGCGTCTCAACAGGCCTGGCCTTTGGGGGGTTAAAAAGCCAGTAACAATGACTACCTGCTCTGCCAATCTTCGCTAAGCTCCCCAGCTTCCGGGTGTCTGTCTTCCCTACGGGCGTACTGAGATGATCTAGCTCCAAAAAATTCCTCTAACAGCCAGGCCTTGGGACAGGCTTAGGGGTAGGAAAGTCTACATCTGGAGTCAAAACAACAGGGAAATTGCAAAGGCGTGAGGGTCCCGGTTTTGAAGTCAGATCCCTACGTTCCAGACAGATGCCAGGGTGACTCCTGCGCGTGAAACAAGCGATCTTTTCGGGCGAAGGAAGCTCCTGAAAGACAGCGGTACCATGATTTCAAAGCATGCCATGGAATGCTGTCTCTCCTGTTGCGTGGATGACTGCAGCGGTAACAGGGAGTCAATATGAGCTGGAACGAGCAGAGATGCCGCTGTTTGTGCTCCAACAATGGCGGGACTGTGGGTCTTCGTCTGCCACCAAGTATCACGCCAAGATGAAGGGTGTCATGTGAATGCAATCTCTTCAGCGCCCACAATTGAGGAGCAAGATGCCATGAGGTGGATGCTGGCTAACTGTGTCCATATCCAGGGACAGTTGAGAACATCCCCATCTCACAAACCCAGCCAGCCACAAACCCCAAAGGCCTGCTGCCGCCACGCTCACAGGGTGTGGGAACTCGGGTATTTTCTGAAATGAAGGAATTTGGAAATGGCTAGTTCACAGCCCAAGGCCACTCTTTAGAAGCCAGGGCTACTTTCAAGACAAAAGTGTCTCCAGCCCAAGCCGTAGCAAAACGCAGCTCAGCACCCCACCGCAGAAGTGGGCCACCGAGTTCTGGCCAATCCGAGAGAAGACAAAGCCCCTGACAAAGAAGATGAAGCCCCTGAACCACAGGCCTCTGAACCCCCTAGACTTCCACCACGAGAAAACCTGATTGCGCTCATGCCCACCCGAGTCTCAGCCGGGTGTCCGATGAAAACAAGAGGCCCCGCTCCCTTAGAGAAGACAGGGTCACAGCCTGATTACTTCCGGTGAGGAAGATCACACAGGGCCCCCGAGTGGTCTCAGCAGCATTTGTAGCTCGATGCGCACCCCAGCATAACCCCACAACCTACATTCACTCACCGCCGTCGAGTCGATGCGGACTCACAGTGACCCTGCAGGACCCAGGAGAGCTGCCCTGTGGGTTTGAGGCTGAATAGCTGTCCACCAACTCATGGCTGCCAAACTCAGCACCCCTGTCGGACAGGGTAGGACAGCCCGTGAGTTTCCAGGACTGTAGCTCTTGGTGGGAGTAGGAAGCCCTGTAGTTCTCCACAAAAGCAGCCGGTCGTTTTGAACTTGTGGTTAGCAGTCCAACGCATAGCCACAACACCACCAGGGCTCCCAGTTGTTAAAAAATAAGGCGGAGTTTGTATGCGTTATTTATGTCCTGAAAGAATTCCAAGAGAGCTACCTTTTGGCTAAACATTTAGTTACACGTTGTTTCTTAGATTGGAATTAGACTAAGGTGACCAGACGTACTGCTTTTGGCAGGACAGTCCCGATTTTTGGAAAGAATGCACGACAAACTAGGGAACGGTCTATTTGGTCTATATAGACCAAATTTTAAATCAAGAACCCCACCCCCACCAATGGTGTCCCGCTTTAAATCTGGTCACCTTATTAGACCCCTAGGTGGCTCTGTTTGCCGTGGTTTTCAAGGAGGCCCCAAGCATCTCAAACCATCTCTAGGTAGAAAGCCCATCTCTGGCTCCCCATGCCCTCAGCCACCCCCAGAGCCTGCTCACCTCTGCCTCAGCAAGGGGGAGGCCCCGGGAGCTGTATGTCACAGGGCTGTGGGCCTGCTGGGTGGCAGAGGAGCAAGTGGTACTGGTAGGATGGAGGTGTGGTTGTTGTAATAGAGATCCCAGTAACAACTGTGCCCACGTACCTGTCCAGTCCAGGTGCAGTGGCCTCGTGACCACCACCTCCCACCGCCACCCAAAGGGTGCACCGTCAGAAACTGCCCATTGTGGCTCAACTCCACCTCTGCATCTACAAGCCAGTCAATCCGAAGGAAAGGGGATGGGGGTTACATTCTCTCCTTCAAGGACAAGATCCAGAAGTTGCCCACCACCCTCTTCGGTTAGGAGAGAGGGGAGAGCGAATATTGAGCATCATCCCTGATGTCCCCGTGTTCTAATTGCATTTGCGTTCCTCCACACCTTCCTTTACAGCAGCTCCTGCTCCACCCTCACGCCCGTGGTCCAGCCACGGTCAGAGAGTAGTCAGTGCTGTCAATTTCTTCTCCCGAGGGAGTCCCTGTGTAATGGATGTACGACAGCGTTTGTTCTCAAATTGGTCATCCCCTTGTGATGAAGGCACCACCTTTCCTTAGCTGTTTGTTCCTTGACAGGTTTCAGTGGGATTAGTTTATCTAGTGTGTAGATTTGTTGCGAGGATTATACTTTATACTTGATTTTCCAGGGAATTAGGTTTAGTGTCCGATCAAGTGTACACGAGGAGAAAACAGATCATTACTTGTCAGACTTGTTTATTTCAGAAGAGTAAAATCGTTTATGTCACACATAGGTCTTTTCAGGATCATTTTGATAATCCCATTCTGTGTTGTAACAATGTTAACAAGGAACTAAGCTGGTGCTGTTATTTTTAGACAGCCCTCCTTGTGAGCCAGTCAAAGTAGATGCTTTCGACTTTGAAGTACAGAGAAAGAACTGCCTGTGTCGGCAAGAATTTCCCTGTGGAATCGTATTCTTAGCTGGCACGCCCACGTGGCCTTTCTTGTCATAACGACATCATCGTCCTCCTGAAGAATGGATGGATAGTTGACCCTTGAATCGCATAGGTTTGAACTGTGCGCATCGACATGAGACCAAAAGAACTAAATGGTGCCCAGCCACCACTGCCACCTGCTCAGAAAATGATCACATCGGAAGGACCGGGAGAGAGGGGAGAATAAGGTGGACCAGAATTAAAGATCCTAAAAGAGATCAAGTTTAATGGTTAGATCGAGAACAAGTAGGACTGGCCCCAAGATGATATATGGCCCTAAGCACTCCTTCAGACCTGGAACTGAACCCACCTCCTAGTTAGGATAACCACCCACCCAAGGTCAAAGGGCAGAGCTCTCGACCAGGGCTGGGACAGTTCAGAGGACAGGAGAGGAGGGAGGGAAACGGAGGACAGGGAGGAGGGGATGAGGGGTGGTGCCCTGAGGGCACTACAGTGGGGCAGTTCTGTTCCCATTGAGCTTGGTGCCGTTGAGGCGGTTCCGACCCATGGCAACCTTAGGGCCAACAGCGCCCTGCCCGGTCCTGCGCTGCCCTCACCAGTGTTCCTCTGCCGAACTGAGCCCCTGGCTGCAGCCACGCGTCAGGCCATCTGTCCAAGGGCTTCCTCTTTCATTGCCCCTCGGCCTTACTGCCCTTCTCCAGGGACTGGCCTTTCCTGACAACTTGTGGAAATCAAGGTGCGGTGTCTTTTTGTTTTCATAAGCAGCATAGGACATGAAAGTCATGTAATGAAAAGACTAACTGTACCGGGGAGGTTTCAGAACGTTCATGGAAAGATGGAGCTGAAACAGAATGGGATTTGTCTTCCACATACATTTTGAAGGCCCCTCCTATAGTTGGAATTCAGCTTAGTGGGCTAGAGTGATTACTTTTACATGACACAGAATGTTCTTAGCATGTAAAGCAGTAAACACGCCATGGCTCTTGGCGTATGAAGCAGTAAGCATGCCAGCCCCTCTGGGGCGATGCCAGGATGCTGTGTATCCCCGGCCCTGTGTTCCCAGGGTCCCGACACGCCTCACTTCCGGGGCCATGTTTGTGTTTCCACAGGCCTGGCAGCTGCGATTCAGCCACCTGGTGGGATATGGGGCCAAGTACTACTCATACCTCATGTCCAGGGCCGTGGCATCCATGGTTTGGAAAGAATGTTTTCTACAGGATCCTTTTAACAGGTAAGGGTGGTGGGGGTGGGCCTCAAACAACTCTTGTGCCATCACCATCACCCACCCCGCCCACTCCGTTTAAGGGCAGACCTGTGAGCATGAGCCCCCGGACATGGGAGAACCTACAACCTGGAGGCCGTGCCCCCCCAAAGCCAGGCCCTCGGTGCCCCTGACCCCCTAGGTGAGCTTCCCCCATGCTTCCTGTGATGCTGGGCCCCAGTGCCCTCCCTGGACCTGCTTGTCCCCGCCTGTGATCCTCAGAAGCTTGCTCTAACAGCAGGCTGCCCCATAGGCCCTGTGGCTTGGCCTCCCCTCGGTGCTGTGTGTGTGTTTGCCCCACCTCTCCCACCATCAGTGTCTAATGGCAATTTGCATGCTTCCTGTTCTTATAAAACATAACCTACACCCTGCTGCTGATTCCAACCCTTAGCACTGTGTAGGACAGAGAATTGCCCCTAGGGTTTATGAGGCTGTACATCTCTCCGGTAGCAAACAGCTTCCCCATTCTCCCCAGGAGTGGCTTCGTGAGTTTGAACTTCCAGCCTTGCAGTTAGCCATTCAATGCCTAACCCAGGACTCCCCCATAAAATCAAACCCACTGCCACTGAGTGGATTCCGACCCAGAATGACCCAATAGGACAGAAGAGCTGGTCCGCCCCAGGGTTTCCCTGGTCTCAGTCTGTATGAGAGCAGACGGCCCTTCTTTTCCTTGAGGAGTGGGTGTAGGTTTGAATCACCGGCTTTGCAGTTAGTGGCCCAGTACTTACCTACAGCGCCACCAGGGCTCCCTCAGCTAGCAGTAGGCCCTCCAAAGGTTCTCCCTGACTTGCCTCCCGATTTAAGACCTACTCCCAATCGGTGAGAGCTCAAGCTGAGATGTGGATGATTCACAGTATCCGAGAGAGGTTTTCATGATGCAAACCCAGCCCGACCCCCTGTCACTGCCTCAATTCCCACTCAGCGGCGGCCCCGCAGGGCAGAGCACAACTGCTTCCTGGGGCTTCTGAAGGGGCCAGTCTGTCCGGCAGCAGACAAGCCTCATCTTTCTCCCTAGAAAAAGCTGCGTTTGAGCTGCTCACCTTGAGGGTAGCATTCCCGACACACAACCCCCTGAGCCGCCACCCAAGCCCCTTGGTGTGGTGGCGGGGCCAGGTTGCATAAGGAAGTAGGTGGGCGCCAGGCCTCCTCAGGGGACAGTCTCAGCGCAGTGGCCTCCTCTGACCCTCCTCTCCAGCTTCCCTCCAAGAACAGGATCCAGAGGGAGGGGAGTTCCGCTCTCCCGGGGCAGGAACTTTCTCTGAAAGTAAACCACTAATTACGGCTTGGTCTGATGGTGGTTCAAAGTGCCTCCCCTCCTCACCGCACAAACAAACAGGGCCCCACAGAGCCCCGGGCATGGCCACCGGCACTCCCAGCAAGGGGAGGGGACGCAGAGGGCATCTGAGAGTTGCTGAAGGTCTTCTTCCCAGGAGCCAGCTGGACCGGGCAGACGCCCAGGGCTGCTGGTCCCCATGCGGTAGCCCCCTTCCCACTCCCCACCATCCCACCCGCTTGCCGCTTCTCAAACAGCCCGCAGAGGTTTGGAGCCTCTCCGATGTCAAGAACCACATTCAGTTCCAGAATCTTTTGAACTTGAAGCTGATCTAATATTATTTTGTTACAATGTTCCATGGTCGGGTCCCACACACTCTCTGGGATCCTGCCCTTCTGCGGACCAGAGACACAGAGTCGGCTTCTCCAGGTGGATTGTTTGGAGACAGTCAGATGCCACACTGTGACGAGTATGAATTGATTCCAAGGATGACAACCCTTGACTGGAGATTCTCTGGAATATTCGAGGCCCTATCCTAGAACACAACACACTGTAGAAGAGAAGGGGGCTGGGGAAAGTTGGGGAAAAATGGAACTGAAAGAGGGTGCAATCTCTCCACGAACTCTTCGAAGCCTGCTCAGATGTGTCTCCTTTGACGTCTAGGCCTTGCTTGGGCGGGTGCTCCTGCCCAGGTGAGTGACTGACGCACTTTCATACACTCATCGTTGCGGGAGCTTATGCGAAACGCTCACCAGACAGAAGGCACCCTCCTCCCCTCTGTCAGGAGAGCCTTGCATCAGTTTCTGGGAAAGGACCAGGCAGGGATCACCCTCCAGGAAGCTGGGAAGAGAGGGGGGTTGGCCCAGAGGCAGGACAAGAGTGGAGGCCTAGAGAGGTGTGTGAGTTGCGGGGAAGCAGATGTTGCAGGAGCTGGCATGCAGGGGATCCCGAGCCCACCAGGCTGGGGGTCAGCCAGGGCCATTTTCTAACCCTGTGCCCAGAGAGGTGCAGCCACTGTTCTTGTCCCCTGGCTCCTTGGTGTTTCCTACAAGTGACCACAGCCAACCTGTGAGATTCTAGTTGGCAACTTCCAAACGCATTGCTTTTGAGTCTGGCCCGACCCACAGTAACCCTGGAGACAGACTGGAATTGCCCCTGTGGGCTTCTGACACCGTAACTCTTAACAGGAGTAAAGAGCCTCGTCTTGCTCCCGCAAAGCAACTGGTGGTTTCACACTACTGATCTTGTAGTTCTCAGCCCAGCCAGTAACCACTAGGTCCCCAACACCCCTTAGCAGTGGGTCTCAACCTGTGGGTCGCCGCGACCCCATTGGGGGTCGAGCGACCCTTTCACAGGGGTCACCTGATTCATAACAGTAGCAAATGACAGTGATGAAGTAGTAACGAAAATAATTTTATGGTTGATGGGGGGGTCACCACAACATGAGGAACTGTATTAAAGGGTCGTGACATGAGGAAGGTTGAGAACCCCTGCACTAGATCGTGGTGGATTGGTTTGGTTTCAACTGCACCTGGTTTTCCTTATTTGGGGAGTAATTTTGAAACTGGAATCAGGTTTTCAGCAGACAGGAAATAATGCAGGACCGAAATATCTCTATAAGAAACAGCTGGGTGAAGGGCCGAGCGGGCGTGTGTCAAGCCACTGACCCATTCCTCTGTTCCCAGGGCCGTGGGCGAGCGCTATCGCCGGGAGATGCTGGCGCACGGAGGCGGCAAAGAGCCTGTGCTCATGGTTCAAGGTAAAGCTAAGCAGGGCACGAGCCTTGTGTGTGTGTATGTGTGTGTGTGAGAGAGAAAATGTGCTCATGTTTAGGTACCAACACTCTGAGTCATCTTTGTACCGCTAGCAATGAACGGTATCTCATGTTTTCCTCATTTTCCCCCACAATGATCCATATCTAGCAGTGTATCTTGTTCTGAACTTCCATCTCATCTCGCCCTGAATCATATTTAAAATGTGGTTTCCTTCCAGTAAGATCCATTTATTCTCATTGTGATTTAGTTAGCTGTCAGGATAGAATGCCAGGTTTCAGCTTTCAAAACCTTCCCAGTCCTCTAAGTAGAGATTGTTAAGATGGTGCAAATACCATAAATTCTCGGGAAGATTGCCTTCAGATCCTGTCGGCTGCGGTATCTGGTTGGAACCTGACGAGCTCTCTTCTTGCCTTCCTCCTCCGCTCAGCCGCTCTTCTCTCGGAAACTAGCTGAACGTTTTGCTGGAAAATCCCAGCGTCTGGCTGGATTTGTAACCCTTTGGAAAGTCAAGACCTAATTAAATCCTTTGAAGGGTCACTGTGCTTGCTTTGCTGTGTAATGCACGTGGAAATGGCCAGTGTCACCCTTCCTAAAGTGCCCTCACACATATTTCACGGAACATGTGAGTCTTATTCTCAGTTCATTCTCCATCCGCCTGATGTCCACACGACCCTTTGGCTCCACCGGCATCCACAGAGCTCATGCTGGGCTCAGGGAAGCTCTGTTTTCCTCTTAGCAAGGGAGCAGCCGCTGGGACAACTCAGCTGATTCCAGTGTGCCCCTGGCTGCCTGGACCGGGTGACCCGATGCCTGCCCAGGCCGTCACACACACAGCAGGTATTTGCTGAGATGAGGGTGAGCCAGGTGCCCTCCCAGGTGTGTAGGGGAAGTAGGAGGAGGAAGCAGGGCAGGCAGAGGGCTCGGTCTGGCCAAAGCCACGGCGCCTTCACAGCAAAAGCAGCCACCCAGGGATCGGACGGCTTTCTGTGGCCCAGCCCAACTCTCTACCGTCCATGGGCCCCGCTGTCCCTCAGTGGACGAGTGGCTGGAGTCCTCCGTGAAGGGGAGGATACTAGGCACTGCCACCCCCACCTCTGTCCCCTCTAGTGTCCCCGTGATGCCACCTGCTGGGTGTGTTGTCGCAAGTGGTTTTCATGTCCCCATGAATTGCATCTCCTAAGTACCGCGGACACATTTTCGGGAGGGACCGGTCCCTGGAGAAGAACATCATACTTGGAAAAGTAGAGGGCCAGAGAGAGAAGCAGGCCGTTGAGATGGATTGACACAGCGGCTCAAGCATGACACCGAGTGTGAGCACCGCGCAGGCCTACGCAGCGTTTCGTTCTGTTGTACGCAGGGTCGCTATGGGTCAGAACCGAGTCTGTGGCCCCTCCCTAACGACAGGTAGGTTCTGAGTTGGGATTATTACCACCTCCTTGTAGGCGCTGGAAAAGGATGGGCAAAGCGCCCAGGCCCCAGGGTCACAGGTGGGAGAACCAGGCTTTGGATCTGACCAAGCTGCTCCGCAGGGCCTGTGATATTAATCGGCCCACCAGAGTGAGCAACTGGTCCTTGAAACATTGTCCCTGAGCTGGTCATTTGTGGGGTGTTGAGCACACCCAAAGTGAGCTGAGAACCGCAGGGGAAGCTGCAGGATTGCTTTGTTCTGCAGAAAATCTACCCACGCACACTTCCTGGAGTCCCCCTTGGCTTGCCCTTATTTCATTAGAAAATAGTTTCATTGTGGTAAACTATTTCCCTCTCTTCTCCGCAGCCCACCTCCCCCAAACGCTGGTCATTTTAAATAGAAACTTCCATGGCATTCATTGCACTCCCCAAGTTGGACTGCCATCCCACCGCCGTCTGGTTCCAGACATGGATCATCACCCCAAACACGAACTCGGCACCCCTTAGGCAGATAATTCCCCCTTTCCCCTCCCCTCCACCCCCAGTACCACCGCTAGACGTGTGCCTCTCTGCCGTGGCCTGTTGTCGGCGTTTCCTATGCGTGGGTCCGGCAAGGTTCGCCCTTCAGGACCAACTGGTTTCACTCCGCATGTGCTGGAGACCTATCCACGGGCAGCCTGCATCTGACCTCCCTTCTCTCCAGGGCTGGGGAACATCGATGTTCTGTTGCTGTGGCTCGCTTCTGGATACGCCGGCCTTTTGCCTGCTGTAAACTAATGCTGCCGTGATCAATGGGGTCCCTGGCTCTTCGAGTCCCTGTGTTTGAACTTTTGGGACATATTCTTTTTTCTGTTGGCCAGAACTGTTTTCCGTCTCTGCCAGCAGTGCACAGGGCCCCCCATTTCTCCACATCCTGATCAGCACCCACTGTTTGCTGGTAATAGCCATCCTCGCCGGTGTGAAGTGGCAGTCCACTGTGATCTTGATGCACATGTCCCTGAGGACTAACTGTTCATGGGCTAAGAGGCCACTGGGGTATCTTCTTTGGAGAAATGTCTGCGTCGTCGGCCCATTGGTCAAGTGGACTCTTTTGTCTTTTGCTGTTGAGCCGTGGTAGTTCATAAAATCTGGCTCACTGACCGGGCACCTGCTCCCCAATGGGCTCTCCTTCCTGCTGGTGGTCTCTTCACTAAGGTGACCAGACAGCCCGCTTTTGGCGGGACAGTCCCGATTTCTGGAAAGAGTGCATGACAAGCTAGGGCACGGTCAATTTGATCCATATGGACCAAATTTTTAATCAGGAACTCCCCCCCCCCCCACCCTCCTGCCAATGGTGCCCCGCTTTAAATCTGGTCACCTTACTCTTCACATTCTTGCACAAAAGCATTGTGCTTGGATGACGTCCCCTTTGTCTGCTCTTTTTCCTCCATCGTTGCTCGTTGTGTCCAATCCATGAGTCTGTTGTTAAAAACAAGGTTCCTTTTGTTTGCCTGTTTCCTTCTACGATCTTATGGATTTGGTTTTTGTGTTTAGCCCCTTGACCCATTTGAGGTGATTTTCATACATGGTGTCCGGCACGGGCTGGCTTTCTTCTGTGCACGTGGAGACCCACCTGTCACAGCCCCGCCTGCTGCAAAGACTGTTCTTCTCCACTGAGTGGATTAGCCACCTGGGTGGAGGTCACTTGACCATAGGTGGATGGGCTTATTTCTAGACTTTTAATTCTGTTCCTGTGGTCTATATCTCGCTCGTTATTCAAGTGCCACACTGTTTTGTCATGATAGCTTTATATTATGTTTTAAAATCAGGATGGGTGAGCCTTCCTTTTCAAAATTGCTTATCTTGTTCAGGCTCCCTAGCAATTCCATGTTGGGATAGAGAATTATCTTGTCATTTCTGATTTTTCAAAATATGCTATTGGAATTTTGATACTGGGATTGCATTAATCTATAGATTGCTTTGGGCAACTCTGACACCCTACCAATATGAAGTCTTCTAATCCATTGTGATCCTGGTGAAGAATATTGAAAGTTCTGTGGACTTCTGAAAAAGACAAACAGATCTGTCTTGGAAGAAGTACGGCCAGAATGCCCCTTAGAGGCAAGGATGGCTAGACTTCATCTCATGGACTTTGGACATGTTGTCAGGAGAGACCAGTCCCTGGAAAGGGATACCATGCTTGGTAAGGGAGAGGGACAGTGACAAAGAAGAAGACCTTCAACAAGATGGATTGACCCGGTGGCAGCAACAATGGACTCAACATAGGAATGATTGTAAGGAGGGCGCAGGACCAGGCACTGCACTGTCCTGTTGTGTGTAGGGTCACTATGGGTCAGAACTCAACCCACGGCACCTAACACCACCACCAGCACAGTCTGTGCGCATGAATGTCTTTGCATCTATTTAGGGCTTCCATCATTTCTTTCAACAATGGTTCGTAGCATCTTTCGTGCACCTCCTCTTTCACGTCCCTGGTTAAATGTATTCGTAGGTCTGTGTGCTCTTTCAAATGGAATGTTCTTAACTTCCTTTTACCAGTAGTTCACAGCAGGTTTGTGTATCTTGACCTTGCACCTGGCCGACTCTATGAACTCACTCTGTGAACTTCCTTGTGCATTCTCTGGGACTAGCCTACCCTTCGAGAGGCCGGGCTCCAAATTCTGACTGCGTATAAATATTAGCTTTCATACTGGTTTATCAGAAGAATGAGAAAAGTCTAAATCCTTTTCATTGTTTGTTTTGGACAGGTATATTTTTCTGCTCTGCTTCCAAGAATATTACAACAACCTCCCTAAAAATCCCGCTCTTTTCTATATGAAACATTTTTTTCCTTCCTGCTAAGAAACCCAATATTTTCAGCATGAAAATTCACACCCTCGTGAGAAGAATGCAAGCCCATGGTTCAAACCAGAGATGATCAAGCATTACAACCCCAGTTAACACCAACAATAGAGCGGTTCTTCTTTTAAACCTCAATATTTTCCCTGTCAGGTCGCGTTAACTCACATGATTGGTTACGTGTCAAGGAAGGATGGGGGCGTGCAAAGAGGGTGGCATGTCTGCTGTCACGTCATGGGGTTGGATTTGTAAGATAAGACCAGAGGTGGCTTCTCATTTTCTGGTATGCAGCCAGCCTGCACCCCAAAATAGTACTGTCTTACAGGATGCACACAGCCTTCACATGAGGGGGGCCTGGGCATCCCTGGACAGCCACCAGGGCGCTCTGTAGGAAAAAAGAAAACTCTGCCGCCTAGTCCCACTTGGCGACTGACAGGACGGAGAAGCACCCTACCCACCCACCCCCAGGGCACATTGTGATGGGAGCAGACAGCCTCCGCTCCCTCCTGCAGAGCAGCTGGTCGGTTCAAATGGCAGCTTGTGGCTAGCAGCCTAACATGTAACCCACTATGCCACCAAGGCTCCCGAATGTTCCCTCGACAACTCAAAAACATATTGCCATCCAGCAGATGCCAACTCATAGCGACCCTGTCAGACAGGTTAGAACTGCCCGGGGAGTTTCCAACTCACTCTTGACAGGAGCCAAGAGCTGGCGATTGCAACCTGCTGACCCCTGGGA